GAGTCAGACATCAGCATTTCTTCCCATTGGGTTCTCCTGCATTTACAATACCAGTGGGTTAGTACATTCAGAAATTCAGATTTTATGGGTTAGAATTCCTCTGACTGGGGCAGTCTGGGGTCCTCTGGCAGTAGTTTTTAGTGTCTGAAGGCAGCTGTGGTTCCCTCCTAGCCCAGCGTGGGAACAAGGTCATGAGGGAAACCTCCTGTGGCACCTGGGTGGGTTCTCCAGTTCCACAGGAGTGTGAAGAACCAAACAGCATTTCCAAATGTGCAGCAGTGGCTTGGCTAGAAATGGTGGGAATGGCCCGTTTTGGGGTCTGAGGGAAATAGGGGGAAGAATTGCAATGCAATTTCCTGCTGTTGGTTCTATTTCCATCACACGTAGCTCAATTAACACTTGGTTAATCTAAAAATGATCAAGAGACCCCTTTCGTGGAGGAACTGGGACATCAACCTGATTAATGCAGGTTTAAAAAAATCCAATTGCAGGATGTGTGAGGCCACATTCGATTTGCCAGCCGAATATGTTATTTTTGCGTTGATTCTCAGAAATATTTGAGGGGGGAAAAGAAAAAAATTGGTGAGGACTTCCATGCTGTAGCCTAATGGAAATCCCCTGTTAAATCAGATGCAGAGGGGATTATTGTTAATATTTTGATATTGGTGTGGTGGGTTTATATTGTAAAAGGAGAGTGAAGGAAATGGAAAAACCTGTGGAGGGGAGATCCATCAGAGATAGAGCTCTGATGGGAAGGATTCAGTTCTCCATAATACTGAAAGGAAAATCAGGGTTTGCTCTCTGGACTTTTCTGGAAAACAGAAATTATTTTCTGGGACAACATGGAGCATGGAAATGCTTTGCTACAGATTTTTTTCTTTTAAGCTGTGTTGGTTCTCAAGATTTCTCTGCTTTTTTATTTCTCTATTCATCATTATGGATATGAATTGAATTCTAGGATGTCAGGCCAGTGTCCAGCGGAGTTTCTGGGGGCGTTAGGAGCAACAGAACATAGAAATATTTGAATTATTTACTCTAGTGTGAAAGCTGCTTAATGCAAATTTAAATAAAATTACAATCTTCCAGTTTGCTGTATTTGGCAGTCCGGTGTGGTAAACTTCCTAATGTTGCTTGTATGGTTTTATTTCTTTGGGAAAACTTCAAAGGTTGGCAGGAGATGTTTTCTCTCATAAAAATCTTATTTTTTTTTTTACCTAATATCAAAATTGCGAGATATTTTGATACAGAATTATAGGTACCGCAGTGGAAGGGGAGAATGAAGGTGGAGATGATGCAGGAGCTGATCAGAGTTCTTCCAATTTTTCATAAATCACGTAATGGTTTGGGTTGGAAGGGTTGGGAATCCCACCCAGTGCCCCCCTGCCATGGCAGGGACACCTCCCACTGTCCCAGGCTGCTCCAACCCAATGTCCAGCCTGGCCTTGGCACTGCCAGGGATCCAGGGGAAGTGTCCAGCCAGCACCAGCACCACTCAACCACGTCCTGAAGTGCCACATCCTGGTGGCTTTGGAACACTTCCAGGGATGGTGACTCCACCACTTCCCCTGTCAGCCTGCTCCAATGCTTGGCAACCCTTTCTGTGAGGAAATTTCTCCTCCTGTCCAGCCTAAATAACAGAATTAGTATCTGGACAGAGGAGTGTGCATTGTACATCTGTCAGTGACCTTCATCCTGGAGCATCCCAACCCTCTTGCATATGGATGTGGATGGATGTCCTGCAGCCTCATTCTTTTGCAAAAATAAAACCTCTGAATATTGCTGCCCGATGCATATGATAAACAAGGCTGCAAATAGGAGTTGCAGTCACTCAGGGTTTCATCTATAAAGCTTAGTTTGACTTGGAGAGAGCTCAGAGGGTTATTGATAGTTCTCTGCTGCTCCCTGCATCCTGGGTTTTGTTCTGGTGGAAAAGTCCTGGAGCACATGGTGTGAGGTTCAGTGCATCTGGTTCAGGGCTGTCAAACCAATAAACATGAAGAATGTGTGCTGGTTTGCCACAGCTGTAAACTTCCACTGCTTGTTTGCTGACTTCTGCAAGGAGGTGCTGCTCCAAAGAAGTTCTTCCGTGTCCTCCAGGAGGGAGAAGGAACATGGAAAAAGTTGGGTTGGAAAGGAGTTTCTTTGTGATGCCACCAAGCATTTGATTATTCAGCAGCTGGGGTTGTAGTCAAAGTGAATAAACCACAGGGAACCTGCAGTTCCTGGGCTTCTCCAAGCTGAGTGAGGTTGCTCAGGTTGCTGAGTGTCTGTCATGGAGGAATTGTGTAAGAGCTTCCCAAAATTCAGGGCTTTAGGTTTACTTTTGCTCTAGTTATGAAAACAGTCAGCTTGATGTTTTTTCAGCTCTCTTACGCTGATTAGATTACTCACAGATGTGACTTCATTCCACAGCACTTAATAATGGGGTTTGAAATTATTCTCTTATTTGGAAAGTAACTAATTATCGTCCAGCTGTGAGCAGTGGGCAGCTGTAAGTCACCCTGCATGGACCTTCCTGGCTCCTGCTGCACCCCTGATGTGTCATTCATGGAATCCCAGAATGGTTTGGCTTGGAAAGGATCTTAAACATCATTTCATCCCATCCCCTGCCACAGGCAGGGACACCTTCCACTGCTCCAGGTTGCTCCAAGCCCCATCCAGCCTTGAACACGGGGAAGTAAATAAAACAAATCCAAGAAATTTGTTGTTTTATTGTTTATTGTTGTTCTCTCAGTGTTGCAGGAAACTTCATGAAGTACAAAATGTCAAGTGCAGGGTCCTGCACCTGGAGGGGCAGGACACAGGGAATGGCTTCCAGAGGGCAGGGATGGATGGGATTTTGGGAAGGAATTGTTGCCTCCATCCCTGGAAGTGTCCAAGGCAGGCTGGACACTGGGGCTTGGAGCAGCCTGGGACAGTGGGAAGTGTGAAATAAGTGGTTTGTAAGGTCCCTTCCATCCCAAACAGTTGTAGGAGCCTTTTATTCTGTGTTTGCTGATGGAGTTACCTTGTGCTGCCTCACAGTTTCTCAGTTTTTCACTTTTTTCCCAGTTTCACACGAGCTGAGCTCTTTGGAGCACAGGACTTTGCGTGGCCTGGACCAAAGGTTTGGTGTCAGGGTGACTGCAGGGGACTCTGGTGATGTTCTGTCCTGTCCTGCTGCAGTGATGGCACAAACCAAACTGGGAATTCAACTCACGCTTCCAGACTGGGGTGGTTTTTGTAGCCAAGATGAATTTGACAAGTCTGTTATTGTTGGTCATGTCCAATATTGAGAAATACTTGGCAGCTGTTTCCAGCTACATCCTATCAGTAATCGTAAAACCAGACTGGTAACAATGGGAATAAAAATATGCTTCTTTTCCTAAGGAATGATTGATTTTTTCATGTGTTTTCTTTTCCAGCAGACATATTCTATTTGTGTTCCAGCTGTTATTTGCATAACACTGCTGCTCTAAACCACTGAATCTACTTTGTTGTCACAACAGTCCTGTTTTAAATAAGTGTCACAACACATTGGATTTTAGCTGATAAACCAGCCATGAAACTGCTGCTATTTCACATTTTTATGAAGATCACTATGCTGCTAGTTAATGTTTTCTTTTTTGAGACTGTGATTTAGGTGCTAACTTCTGAAGATAGATCATTTTAAGTTGGAATTTTGAAAGTGAATGCCGTAGTTGAGGAAACTTGAAATTCGCTGTTATCTTGCTTTGTTCAAACTGCTTTAGAAAACAACTCAAATCTGTTCCTTGGTGCAAATTCCTGCAGTGAAAGAAGATTTTATTTCCTTGAACAGGTGAATTCCAAACAGGGAGGATCTCCATGCAGGGAGAAGCAGGTGGCTCTGCTCAGCCCCCTGGGCAGGATGGAGATCTCGGGGTGTGAGTCGGGCGTACATGAAATCAAACTTCCCAAAACGAGCCTGCTGCCAAGTGGGTGAGTTCATGTCCTATTGATCTGTGCTCGTGTTTGTGCTGGAGGAAGGAGATTGCCCAGAGGATCTTGTTGTTGCTAATCCTACTGGGAGGAGTCCCTTGTGCCCTAAAGGGCTCCAAAATACATCAATTCCTCTGCTGCCTCGAAATATTATCAAACGTTTTAAACTCTTCAGTGTTTTTAATGTAAGTTTTGAAAGAATCTCCTGCATCCCTTGATTTTTGGCACATATATAAATGTCACTGAGGGTAAAATCTCCTTGCACACCTCACAAATCTTGCAGACCTACATCTATTTTTATATTTTTATATTTTTATATTTTTATATTTTTATATTTTTATATTTTTATATTTTTATATTTTTATATTTATTTTTGTATTTTTGTATTTTTGTATTTTTGTATTTTTATATTATTTTTATATTTTTATATTTTTATATTTTTTATGTTTTTATATTATTTTTGTTTTTATATTTTTATATTTTTACTTTTTTATATTTTAATATATTTTTTATATTTTTATATTTTTATATTTATTTTTATAATTTAAATTTTTTATATTTTTACTTTTTTGTATTTTTATATTTTATATTTTTATATTTTAGATTTGTATATTTGTATATTTTATTTTTTTTATATTTTTTATAATTTGGTATTTTTATACTTTTATATTTTTATATTTTTTTATATTTTTATATTTGTATATTTTATTTTTTTTATATTTTTTATAATTTGGTATTTTTATACTTTTATATTTTTATATTTTTTAAATATTTTTGTATTTTTATATTTTTATGTATTTTTTATATTCTTACATTTTTATATTTTTATCTAGCGATCTGTGCTGCAAGAGGTAGAAGCAGGATGGACTGGTTGTTTTAATGGCTGTGCAGTACTGGGGAGAGCTTTAGCTGTTTTCCCAGAGCCGTGGTGTCTGCTGGAGTTTGGAACAGATCCCACGTGGCACTGGAGATGATGCCTCAAACCCAGGCCTGGCTGAGGAGGCACCAGTGCATTTTCCTCTTTGTTATACATTGAGTTCAGTCTGCTGGAGTCCATCTGCCCTGCTCAGATATTTGATTTTTCTTCCTTATTTGTGAGGAAATGTTCAGTGACATTTTTAGACGGAATGTTGAATTCATTCAGAATCAGATGCTAAATTTCCATGTCAAATTTCTTCTGCAAAATCAAAACTACTTAGGCTCCCTCAGACTTCCCTAAGACTGGTCTTTCAGCTGAGTTTGGCAATTAAATTCCATTTTTCCACAGTCTGCTGCATCAATATTCCCACTGAAAAGGCTCAAACAGGTTTGGTTTCTTTTCTCAGCATTTTCTTTTTCTCACCCTGTGTTTGCCTCTGTTGTGCATGGATTTTTAGGATGCTTATTTTCCTGTTTTATTCTCCTTGTAACTGCTATTGGTGTAAAATTAATCAGGACTATGGAGCATGTGTGTGTTCTGGGTGAAATATGATTTTTGCCTCCCATATGGAAACTCTGAAGCCTCTGGATTTCACAGTTTTGCCAACTCCAGGGATATGGAAATGACTGCTGCACTTCCTTCAGATTCCAGTTTAAGTGCTGGATTTTTCCTTCAGATTCTGGTTTAAGTGCTGGATTTCTGCTGATGGGGAATAGAAATAAATGGGCATTTAGGCTAAAGTTGGAACTTGGCTTTGCTGCAGAGCAAAATCTGCCTGGAGAAAAGCCCAGGGGATGAGGATCTTCACTTTGTGAAGAATAAATGTCACTGAGTGAGTGGAGTAAGAGTTGGAAAAAGATCTGGAGGCTCTCAGAGCTGTTTGTAGGGATGGGTGCTGCTCTTTTACCAGAACATCTGGTAAAAAATATGGTTTTGTTTTACCAGGACATCTGTTTTGCTCACCTCTAACATGTTCATGTTCTCTGGTTGAAGTTTCTATGATCTTGTTCTTCAGCAGAAGTTGGACAGTTTAGATTTTTTTCCTGAATTTTAATTTTCACCTGTTCTAGATCTTCACTTTTCTCAGTGGTGAGTTGATTTCACTTCATCTTGAGGTGTTAGTGGCATCTTGGCAACTCTTAAGCTCACAGGCTGAATGATTTATGTGCAGGAATAATTCTGAAGCTAAGGGCAAGAAGAGTATTTTTATGTTTACTTCAAGAATTTAAATCTGAAGAAGAAAGGTGGGACTTCCTTTTGTCTTTAGCACTGATAAAGTTCTAAAAATTTTAAAGCCATCTGTAAATGTTTGTGCTGAAGTATAACATTTAATCTCTTCTACTCATTGCTAGTGAATAGTTGTTAAATCTGGCCTCATTATTTTCGACAGAATAAAATAAAAACAAAGCAGTGCCTGGTGTTTCTCCTAACTGGCTAATAAACGCCATGGCAAGAACATTGGGTGGGAAAAAAAACCATAAGAAACATAAAAATTGATTTTAATGGACCCCTGTCAGAAAGAACCATAATGAGCACGAGTCTGGTAATAAATATTGGTATTCTGCTCCACAGTGCTTGGGACTTCTCATGTGGAATTGCATGTAACAATCAATAGAGATTTTAGGGTTTTTTAACAACAAAAATAAGTAAACCTTTGAAATATATAAATACTTAAGACTTGCAATCTGTCAGACAAACCTGGTAGTTGTAGAAAAATCTGATAAGAGCCCCTGGTTAATGGCATAATCGCTTTGTGGAGATCTCGCTCTGTTTTACAGCTTGTAAAATGCTGTGCAATTAATCACCTGAGATTACAACCTCCTCACTGATGGCTCTCCTTAAAACTTAAGAACACAGACTATAATGGAGCCTAAAAGGAGAAGCAACAAAGTAAAACCCAGTTTCAGTATGCTTGAAAGAAATTGATCTATTAATGAGATGAAACTAATTGTAATAACCTGAGGTGATTCCGCTCCTCGGGAAGCTGCCGGGGTTTGAAAGTCCAGCCACGTCACGGGGGGATGGTTTCTTTTGGACAGGAGGCATCTTCATCCAGGCTTCTGAAATCCATGATGTGCATAAATCCGTGATGTGCATCCCATTCCTGCAGCTGGGACAGTGGGAGGTGGCCCTGCCATGCCAGGGGTGGCACTGGGTGGGCATTGAGGCTCCCACGCCAGTCTGGGATTTTGTGATGCCCTGACCCAAGCAGGTCCCTGAAGGTTGGACAATTGGACAATTGTATCTATTAATTTATTAATAATTAATTGTATCTATTGTATCTTAGTCTGGACAATTGTATCTATTTCTAAGAATTTCAGCTTCACAGTTCATATTTTAAAAAAACCCTTAAGTGTGTATAAGCTGTGTGTATGTATTTATATATATGTGTGTGTGTGTAGATATGTATATATATATATATGTGTACATTATATATGTACATTATATATATCTATTATATTTCATATATATATTAGTATATTATCTATTTTATATATTATATATCTTATATATAATATATATTATATATATTATATATCTTATATATTATATATAATATATTATATATCTTATATATTATATATAATATATTAGTATATTATATATTATTAGTATATAAGTATATTAGTATATAATATATGTATATTACATATTAGTATATAATATATGTATTTCTTGCTATATCAGCTGTTTAGTTTTTCTTTCAGTACATGCCAATCTAGTGATTAGTTTTAATCAATATTCCTCCAACATCCCCACCTGAAATATTGCAAATGTTTAACACTTCTTGCTCCTGTCCAAAAGAAAAACTCCCTTTCTTTTACTGTGACTTTACTTCCAAGTGTCTTCAGGAGCTTTGGAGTTCCAGAATTAGATTTATTTTGTTCTGCTGTCAGCTGTGGTGCTCCCACACCGGATGACTCTGCTTTAAGAAGCCTTGACTCATTGCAGAGGTGCAGGAGTAAATTATCCCCTTGGTGAGCAGGAAACACAAAGCATGGTTTTCCCTCTGCTGAATATTTACAGCACAAAATACTTTGGAAATGTGGGATGTGGACTTGGCATTGGGATGGCAGCAGGGAGCAGTTTCTCCCTGTGTTGCAGAAATCCAGATTCTCTCAGGAATTCCCTTTTCCTCAGGAAAACCACCCTGGTTTTGCCAGCTCCCTGCCTGGTCAGCGTGGGGCAGGGAAGTGCTGGGGGAACTGGAGGATTTTAGTGAAAGGGATGTCGTAGAAAATGTTTTGAGGAAAACTAAGCAGCTTTCGGTGTGTGGTTGGAAAATCCTGCTGGGCACATGGGAGGATGACCACCATCCTACTGCTGAGTGTGTGTGACAGGAAAGTTGAATTTGCCATCTGGAAGGTGGGCACAGATCCCAGGTGATGCCTGTAGCCCTAGTGAGGAATGTTATTATTCACTTTGGGATTTGAGGATGCCACCACGAGTTAAGTTTTCCACCGAAAGGCTCAGCTGAGCAGCTGTGATCTGTCACTGCCATCCTTGGGTGGGACATCCCAGGATGGGGATGGTTTGGGGACAGCCCCTCCTGGCTCTCTGGGGCTGCTGGGGTGTAGGGCCAGCTCGGGCTTGCCAAAGGAGCCTGAGGAATTGTGAGTGTGTTGGTGTGAACCTGAATTTGGGAGGCTGCAGAGAAGGTGTTGCTGCTTCCTGCACCTTTGGGCAGCCTGACAGATGGCCAAATCCTGCATTTTCCTGGTGCTGCAGGAATGCACCCAGGCTTCCTTTTGGGCTCTTTGAGAAGCAGGGTGATCTCATCTGCCCTCTGTGTTCCCTGCAGGTTATTTGCAGTTTTCCTTCGTGTTTCATTTCCATCCATCCTGCTGAGGGAGATCAGGGGAGGAGGAGCAAGGAGCCAGTTTGGCCCTTCCCGTATTATTAATCTGCCTCAACCTTTTATTGTAAATGTGCAGTTCAGGAAGTTCACCAGGGTTTCAGTCAGTCTCTCTCTGTCACTGTAACATGATCAGAAACTCCAGAATCTCACTGTAAGCAGGCTTCCACCTATCAGAGATGGAAGGAAAATCTCAGGTGTGTGCAAAGGCAGCGGATGCAGTGGGGAAGGGAGTCTGGTAAGAGCCTGGAACAATAACTTGGAGAGGTGTGGACCACTCTGTTCATCTCTGAGGTATTTAATCATAGCCAGTGCTGATGGTTTAAATGTCAACTTTGCTAACTGTTTCATTCCTCATACTGTAAAATTTACTGGGAGTGATATCTCACTTTGATGCCACAAGTGGGAGGCATTTGGGAGAGTGCCACTCCTCCTATTTTTCCACTGAGCATCAGCCAAGGCTAAGAAACTTAGTGGAGCTCAGGGGCACAGTAAAAACCCAGAGAAGGAGGTAGGGGTGGGAGTGCTCTGCTGCTTGGAGTGGATTCCTGGTTTACCATGAACATCTGAGGATTCTATGAGTAGAGGATTATTGGCAGTGTGGCTTGGAAGAGGCTCCACTCCTCCTCGTTCAGGTTCTTCCTTGATTATTGTGTAGCAACGGAGATATTCTATTTAAAATGGTACAGGATAAAACCTGAACGAGGCACCTGTTTGTGGTGCCTGTGTGGAGCAGTCACCAGAAGAAGATCACTCTTACATAAATGTTCCTCTTTCAAAGAAAACCTTTCATTTCCAAATATCTTTTAACTTGTGGCACAAAGCTCTCACAAATTTCATTGAGTTTTGTGCCACTGGTCTTGGAAAGAAAACATGCAGATGTCTGGGTAATAGGGAGATGATGCTTGTTACTTCAAATCACTTCAAAATAACAGGAAAGTGTATTTTAAAAAATAGGAAAGAAAGGAAAAAAGAAATATTACCTTCTCTGGTAGAAGTCTCTACAAATATCCAGGCATCAATCTTTATTTCAGCAGATTCAATGGATGTGGCAGGAAGAGTTATTATATAGCATAGTCCTCCTTTTATTAAAAATAAACTGGGCTAGAGTTTTTCATAGTTTCTTGTGGAGATGCTACAGATTGTTTATGCTGCATCAAGCTAAGAAAACTTTTTATTGGAAGTGCTGTTTCCAAAACATAAACAAAATAACTTTCTGCATGTTTTCAGAGCTCAGCCTGACATGTAGTACAGCTCAGAGATGTGGTTTCACATGGTTTTAGAAATGGTTTGTGGGCAAAGTTTTATTGTCAGGTCTGGCTGGTGAATTTAATTCTGCATGATTAGCAAAACCCACGTTCCTCTCTCACTGAAGCTGAAGTGAATCTTGAGCAGCTCCACTGTAATCAATACTAGACTTTAGCTGTGTTATTTTCCCTGACAGCACGGCTGCGTTCTTATTATCTGTCAAAGGCAGCATTGCAAGATTCAAATAGGAGTGGGTTTTGCAAGTCTTCAGTTGTGGTTTTCTCCTGAAATCTTGGCAGAGAAGCCTTTGAGGTATCTGTAAAAAAAAAAATAAAATTAAAGTGTAGATTTTTTGATGGATGAGAAGCTGGACCTGAGCTGGCCACGTTCACTCCCAGCCCAGAGCCCTCCTTGTGCCCTGGGCTGGTCCCAGCCTGGGCAGCAGGAGAGGGGAATTGTGCCCCGTGCCCAGGTGAGCCCCACCTGCAGAGCTGGCTCAGAGGGACCTGGAGCTGCTGCAGAGGATCCAGAGGAGGCACCCAGTGATCAGAGGATGGAGCAGCTCTGCTGGCAGAGCTGCACTGGAACCTGCAGGGGAGAAGGGTGGGGTGACCTCGGGGTGGCCTCACGGGGCTGGAGGAGCCACAGGAAGGATGGAGAGGGGCTGGGGACAAGGGATGAGGGACAGGACACAGGGAATGGCTCCACTGCCAGGGGCAGGGCTGGATGGGAGATTGGGAATTGGGAATTGTTCCCTGGCAGGGTGGGCAGCCCTGGCACAGGTGCCCAGAGCAGCTGGAGATTTTGGTTAGGAAAAGTTCTGGGGGTTTTAATTTTTTGTTTTCTTACTTTTCCCCCCTCAATAATTTTGCTCCTTTGCTTTCCTTCTCACTCTGAAATTGAATTGTGTTCCTTGCTAGCAATCCACATGGCAAAAATGGCTTTCAATTAAATTCTTTTTTGGTATGTTTGCAAATATAGGTAGTTCTGGATTATTTCAGGAGAGATGATGGTGCCTAGATGTGAAATTTGGATCTGCTGCCTTCCAGAACAGGGTGGTTTTCTTGAGAATGGTAAGTCCCTGAAATGCTGAAATATGGCTAAATTAAGAAAAGGTAAAATTTAGATGGAATATCGGGCAGGAATTGTTCCCTGGCAGGATGGGCAGCCCTGGCACAGGATGGAATTCCCAGAGCAGCTGTGGCTGCCCCTGGATCCCTGGCAGTGCCCAAGGCCAGGCTGGACACTGGGGCTGGAGCAGCCTGGGACAGTGGGAGGGGTCCCTGCCATGGCAGGGGGACACTGGGTGGGATTTGGGATCCTTCCAGCCCAAACCAGGCTGGGATTCTACAAACCCCTGCAGTGCTGGTTCCCCTCAAACCCTGCACCTTGCTGCCATCACAGCATTTGATGGTCAAGGCTCTCCAGGCTGCTCTTACAGTGAGACACTTCTGTGGCTCAGTTCTCTCCCTCCAGGAGAGCTGCAGGAAGGATTCCTGGCACCCACATCCAGGTGTGTCTGTGCTCACACCCTTCTGTTTAATCCCAAAACACCTCTGTGGCTTTCAGTTGTTCCCAGCATCATCTGTGCATCTAAATTTTTTTTTTTTTGTTTTGAGGACCACAGAAGTCAGGGAGGAAGCCCAAGATGAAGAGTTGCAACACTCAAAACAGCCACTAATTCTGGTACATAATAGAAACATAATCCGTGTCATTATGCAGCCCATTTTCCCATCCTCATAGCAAGGATTTGCAATGGAAAAATGCTCCACTGCATTAATCTACCTCTGGCATGGGAAGTGGACAGGTTCCACTCCTGCCTGAATTACTCCTGGTTAGTGAGGACACACCAGGCACTGCATCTGTGGCACAGCACAGGGCAGGGCATCAGGAAAGGATTTGTTTTCTGGGACATTTCTTGAGGAGATGATGCCACGTAGACAAATTCTCCC